CAGAAAATTATCAGTGAAATAGTAGGTCAAGTGAGATGGCTGTAGTGTTGCCTGTTGCCTTAAAGCTGTGAATCCGTGGAAAGGCCATGGCCTAATGCTGTCCCATCACTGCAGGAAGCACTGGTTTGGCCTCTTTTCCAGCTTCTGGATTCTGAATTAGTTTTCCAAATGCTTGGAGTTTGTGCATGGTGTAATATTATAGTTAGTGAAAAGGTCATTAGCAGCTGGTAGAAAAGGCCTTTGCTTCATTATTACTCAAACAATTGAAGATGTTCATTGGCTGTAGTTATTATTTTCAGATAAAGCTAGCACTGAATTTGGTGCAGAGTATGTAAATCCATGTCTGCAGCATGCAGAGATTGTCAAGGGAGTTCCTCCCTTTCATCTTGAACCTGGCTGGAAGCCTGCTGAGATATCCTGACAGGACAGCACTGTGTGGGCCCAGCAGCTCACCAGCTGAAGGAATTAAGGCTTTGCTGTCACAGGACTTGCTGCTTTAGCTGTGATGCTCTGGGGACAGAGCTGTGCTGCTTGCTCAGCCCTACCCCAGGGACTTTCATGCTCCATCCGTTCCATAACACCCATTTGGCCCTCAGGTTTCATTGTGGGGTGGATTTCTATCAATTTAAAGGTGAATTAAGCAGTACAAATTCCCAGGCTACTCTTTGATTCAGCAATCAGGCAGTGCCCCTTTTCCTGGGGCTTATTTTGGGAGGTCACATGAGTACAGGTACCTCCCATGTAGTGAGTTTGCACGAGGCAAGTCTGTGAGTCACAGAGCATCTAGACTGTGTCAGGTAGAAAAAACTAAATTTCTTTCACTCCACACAGTGAGTTAAGGTATGAGGTAATTTCATTTCTGGTAGTCTTTGGAAAATGTTGTTTTTATCCCACCATAAATATGGACCTTCGAGTGTTTGTTGTGATTTTATCTTCTAATTTCAGAGACCATAATGCCAATATCTCAAATAGGCACAGTAAGTTAAGAGTTGTAGGTGGAATCATGCTTCAACCAAACTTAGGTGGTAGCAAACATGGGTTAATATCTGCAAATGCATCAAACAGGAAAACATAAATTGAGGGTAGACGATTTCTTCATTATGCTTTTCATTTTTGCTAGCTCTATATGCCTTCTAGATTTAGCAAATGTATGTGCAATAAAAGAAGCATTTTGTTATAAATTTGATTCCATCTTTCTGCACGTGGGCAAAACATTCAAGTCAATCTACCCGTTAGTGGATAAATTGAAGGGCATTATGTTTTATGTATCAAATCCTGCACCACTCTTTTAATTTGTATTTTTTTTTAATAAGACATGTTGTTTATGGACTTTTGCATAGTGTGTCTGCAGAGTGTAATTTAATGCACCCTTCTGTGAATTTTCATGCAGAAAATGTCAGTTAGTTACATACCTAAACTATACAAGCTATTGCCCTAACAATTCCATCTTCAGAAACGTTAGTGTGTGTGGATTCTTTGTAACGTGTGAATTATTGAGATAGCTTATTTGAAAGGTGGTGAAGGAGAGGGAAGTCCTGTGCAGATGGAGAAATAAGATTTGTTTTTAAACTGAGGGGTTTATCAATTCAGAATATTTTTCAAAGGCTTTGTACCAGTGACATGAGATAATTGAACAGAGTTTACCAATTAAAAAATGAAATGTTCCTCATGGTAACCAGTGCTTGTATTTCAACCCTACTCAGTATAAACCATCGATATGGTAACTAGTGCATTTTTTATTCTTGCACATTTCACTTAGTGTTTTCTTGGGTTGGGGTTTTTTGTTCTATTACTGGCAGTACTTCATATGAGTACTGTGTAATTAATCCACAAATGTATTTTCTTTCAAAAATTTCTGGCTCTGTGTTTCCCTCTGCTCCTCCATAATGTTCGAAGATTCTCCAAAGGCACCAATATGGAAATTTACATTCTTTTCACTAACCACAGACTATGCTATTTAACTTTGACATTAATCAAACTAGCAATGTCCATGTTCAGGAGTGGGTTTTGCAAAACCCACTTCAAATAAGATAATTACAGTGCTCTGCAATTGTTATTAATAACTTGAAATGTATATTGTCTCTGGATTCTAAATTACATATTATTGATATTTTTTTTGTAAAAATTAGATGTGTTTTTTTCCATACCACTTAGGCAAACCCATAGTTTAGGATTGTATTTATCTGTGCTGCAATTTTACTTGGATTTCGTCTTGCATGTCACATGTACTTCTGGTGTTTTGTTTGAGATGGGAGCAGCAGGAAGGGGATTTTTTTCTCCTGCGGGTGGGAGATTGCCATACAGCTGTGAGACCCCTTTAATTAAAGTCAGAGTAAACTACATCAGAAGGGCTGCTATCTCAGTGAAGACAGCTGAGCTATCAGTGCTCTGCTTTAATTAGAACTTTTAATATTTCATCCCTTACTGCCCAAAGTGTGACCTGTCAAGCTGCTGAGAGGCTGCCCCTTCCTGACAGAGGTGCAGCTCTGAGCCCAGGAGTGGCACACACTTAAATCCAGTTTGTGCATGATCACTTGGTGGGTTGGTGGTCTTTTCTTTGTTGGTGTGCTCCTTGTCTGCAAGAACAGTAAATCACAGATCTGTTCATGCTAAAGGGTATTTGGACTTGTTAAATAGCTCATCAGAAGCCAGCCCACGTCTCCTAATATTTCACATGGTTTGGGAGTGTCCAGCAGTTTCTTCCCCTCTAACACTTACAAGTAAAGCTTGAGACAAAAGAGAGAGCTGGATATGGGACATAGATCCAAACTGGGGTGCAGCTACCAAGTTGGATTGAGTGATTCCTTGTCTTTCCATAGCTGAATGGGGAATGTCCTCTTCCCTCTGTTGCATTTCTCCCTTTCCCAGCAACCTGGTCTTCCTTCCCTTGAGCTCAGGAGGTCCTCTGGAAGGCTGCAAGGCAGAGAGAACAGGAGTGGGGAAGGCAGATGGCAGCTTATGTGAATTCTCAATGAACTGCTTGGGGTGTCCTGGGCTGCACTGTGTCATCCTCTGCAGCTCCTCCTCCCTCTGGAGTGAGTGTCATTAGAGACTTAATTACCCCAGGCAAAGACCCGTTCAAATAGGGAGATAAATGCATCTGACTGGAAGTTTTTCACATTTAGGCTTTGCTATTAAGCATGTAAACACTGTTCAAGTTGCATTTTGACAACTGGCTTCCCCTTGGAGCTGATCAGAGCAATGCCTACCCTGCAGCTGGAGCACTGAACCAGAGCTGCACTGCTGCTGTTTGATACAGTTCCCAGGGGACACTGAAATATTTCATACACAAAGCTGCTTGATCTGTAGCTCTGTATTTTTTGACACTGCTTCACTGCAGCCAAATTTCTTGGCTTTCACAAAGCACGTTTCTATGTTAAAGACCAACTGCAGAAATCCAAAGCCTTGCCTTGGTAGGTTAAAAGCCAAAGTGGCCAAAGTGCCTTTTGTCTCTGTAATAAAATTGCCTATACCATAATTCTATTTAAATAATGATATAGAACCATGGAATGAACCTCTTCAATAATTTCTTAAGGGGAAGAAACCCCTCTTGGAAAGAAATGGGTATGAACATGTATTGTAAAATCCACTGGCTGTCATCAGAAAAAGAAGAAATAAAATTGTTCAGATGGAAAGCAATATTACTGTCAAGAAATTAGGACCTAGATAAAATCTGAAAGCAATTCTTCATCTCTGGAGGAGTTTATCTGTCTTATTTATTTTGTTTTTACAAAATACATTAGCAAATACATAAATAATGATTTTTCCTGTCTGAATCTTTCTAATTGCTCTCCTCTGGAGTGTACAGTGTCTTCATTCCCTCCGTATTTTGCAGCTCCCTCTGTCCTAAGTCATTGTGTCATCAGTGCACAGGGACACCAGTGATTCATAGTAATTTATAGCAGTGAGTGCTGAAATAGTCCCTGTCCTAAGGTTGCCACATTGTGATGGAGTTTGTGTGACAGTTTAACCAAGAAAGTGCAGCTGAGAAGCAGGACCCATCCTGCAGCACACAAACAGGATGGGATGTAACCTCAGCAAGTGTCCTCAGGGAATCATAAACCAAGAATCTAACTGGATTTATTCTGGATATGAGTAAACCTCTCAGTTCAAAGTTGTATTTAGAAAGAACTGAAGGAAAATGATTTTTGAAATTATTTAGGAGAATGAAACTGGTTTGCTAAAAAATGAAAAGGCCTGCCTTCAGGTTGTGATTATAGCAGAAATGTCTCTAGGATTAAATCATAGTAAAAAAGAATGTCCATCTGGTGTATCCATGAGAATAGAAACTGAAAATAGAAAACTGTGCTGCAATCCCACCTTTCCACTTTTTATTCTCCAGCACTTTTTCAGTAAAAATGTGGTTTGAGCTTGATTGACATGTTTTTAATATTGTTGTTTAATTTGCTGTGGTGTTTTCCCTGAAAATAATAATTTAATTTAAAAACAATTTAAACGTCATTTATACTTTTTTTCCACATTGTCAGATGATATATTTATTAGAGATTTAATTTAGTGGAAAAGTATTTCATTTAAAATAGAACAAAGTACTTAATATGTGTGAAAAAATTGCTTTACTTACTTGCTGTTCCTTTAAAAATAACATTTTTAATTTGACATGCTAGTTTTTTGTAAGTAACCTGAAAAATAGTTATTCTCACAGGTTAAGTAAAAACCAAAGGGAAAGTAGATTTATTAAATTTCCTTTGTCTGAATGCAAATAGTTCACACATAGTTAATGTTGAGTTATGTTACTCTCTCTAATCTCTTGCTCTTGCTTTGTAATAATTTGATAAACTGGATTTTTGCACACTAAGTAGTAGTGCCTCTTTGAAGAAACTTAACAGTTTGAGGTTTGCAGTTTACATTTTCATGACAAGTTCCAATTATTGTTTCCCTGGCTGGTAAAGCACTGAGGGTTCTGCCTCAGATCCCAGCACAACAACAATTACAAAGCAATTCTGACCCCTTTCCTTTTGCCCACCTTCTGCTCTCTCTAGAGCTACATCTACAATGACCCCACGAGGTACTACACGAGGCAGAACCCCAAAGAGCCATCACCTTTGGCCCATGCATCCAAATGGCAGCAGGAATTCCCCGAGGATCCCCGTGGCAGGACGCTCCGCCAGCGCCAGCCGGACAAGCTCCCGCTGGAGCCGGGAACGGCCCAGAAGAGCCTGATGGCCGCGCTGCACTCCTACATCACCCAGAACCTGTCTGCACACAGCAGTGAGAGCAGCCCTCCCAGCAGGACTAAAGGCTCTCAGGTTTACGCTGAGAGATTGTACTCTACGCAGGTCAGTCCTTTTGATGGAACTTTTGCCAAAGGAAGAGCGGAAGATTTCAAAATGCGGAAGCTGTTGCAGCCGAGGCCTGGGCCTGGAGTGCTGAGGCCAACCCCTGAGATGCTGAGTCATAAATCTGCTTCCCAGCATGATCCAAAGGACCCTCTGAGCATTGTGGATGGTAAAGTTGATATTTACTTATTTTTGCTTACCTGAAATTTCCCTCATGTTTACTGAACATTTTTGAGGAAAGGAAAATAGACATTTGATAGATCTCCTAGTATTGGCAATATTTATATCTGCCATAAGAAGTAATAATGTTCACCATTCCAGCTACTCTTTCCCTGCAAACATCTACCCACATTCTTCAGCCCACCTTCCATATGCATGCAGAAATATATGGCACTTAGTAAGACATAGCATTTATGTAATTTGTTATATTTTCAAAGCATTTTACAAACAACGCATAATTATGGGTATATCTTCGCTATCAAATCTGTTTTTATGCATTCATCCTACGCTATATATATAGATAATATAGAAATGCCTGGGGTTTTTTCCACATCTCTTTATTTAACTAGAAATTCAAGGACATGGGTAAAATTCAAAGTTAAGCACAAAAATTAACAGTGAGATTAATTCTGGTGCAGAACACAGAGAAAGGAGGAGTCTGTCAGTTCCATGGATAGGTGAACAAGAAGGTGGGGTTGCATCTCATTTTGTCTGGACATTCTGTAACAGAAAACCCATTTCCTGGATTTTCATCTTTTTTTTTGATAATGTTGTTTAACAATGATTGGATCTCAGTTTCTTCTTTACGTGATAGTTCAACAAATATTTAAATTAAAATCCTCATGCTGTGCTGCACTTAAAGCACTGTTTTATAAGATGCGTCTTGGGGATCATGGAGACTTTATAACTCTGATTAATTTTGTTGTTTCTTTAAACTAATCTAACTATCAATGTTATTCCAGTGGTTCAGAATGCCTGAAAAATGAAAGAGTTGATCCCCAGCCATTGTCAAGCACTTGTATCTGTTACACTGCAATCACCACTACCCCAATGGATTTTGGTGATATGTAAGAGGGTTCCTTTGAATCCCTCTTTATCACCCATAAAGTCCAATGTTCTTTGATTTGTTTATTTGTTTTTTTTAATAATATCCTCCAAAACCAGAACACACAAACACACAGAAACGTCAGAGTTTCAGCAGAGGGAAGATAATGCTTGCAGTGTAAAGGACGTTCAGAAATGAAAGCATTCTTGGTATGGTGCCCAGAGATAATAGGTTTCAAGAAATGAACTATAATGTAAAATCAAATCCAGGTGGCACTGTAAGTCTCTTGCACAGGTTAGACAATTTTGTTGCTAGACTCAAAACAAACCAGGCACATGCTGGTTTCATTATCCTCCAGCTGTTCCACTTCACCTTTCCTGGTAGGAGCCAACTGGGAAAAAAATGCTTAACACTTACAGGGAATAACATGTTTCACAATTTGTTGGGTTGTACTACTTTGACTTCTCATACATAATGTGCCCTATAGGAACTTCTGCCATTGCATTTTCTTTTAAATGTTGCATAGACAAGGCATTATGAATTGTTTGAGTAGGAAATACTGTGGTTTCCTTTGTATTTTTGAACCACTTAATAATCTCACAAGAAAGTGGTGAGGACAAACCCTGGCATATTCATTGCTTAAAATGCTGTCCATTGGAATGAAGGTGGTTTAGATTCAGGTTTCCCAGGCTGACCACAAAACCTCTTTCTGCTTTTCACCTTTCTCCAATCTCTCTTGTGTTTATGGATTACTGTAGGCTTGTGGGTTGTTTTTCTCTTGCACTCTGTGAACTACAGAACTGTAAAAAACTGGAAGGATGGGGTGCTCAGTTCTCTGATCCATCTGATAGAGGATTAGACAGAGGCACTGAACTGGTAGAACAATCCAGAAGGTACTGAGCAGATTAGTACTGAGAATTGCTGCAAAACAGTGGCAGGTAAGTTCTCTAACAAGGCACCCTGAGGGAGAAATAGAAAAGAAGGAAATGCGGAGTTATTTTTCTATCAGATTTGGAAATTGTTACCTCTAGGAGTAGCATGATGTGCGTGGGCACAGCCTTTGTAGTCACTGTGCAACACTGGAATTGTTAATCTCTCCTCTGCACCAGCCATATTTAGAATTTGGCTCAGTTTTGTGTGGTTTGTTCTAGTCTACTGATTTTTTTATGTGTTAAATATTACAGAGTACATCTCTCTGTTCCTTTGGAAAGGTCACAGAATTAGTAATTCAGATGTCTTAAAAAAATAGCAAGCTTCCATGTTTATGGAACAAAAAAATTTTTTTTAATACATTCTCTCTCTGACAAAGCTGGGATCACCATTCCATATGGTGCTCACCTGCTGAGGCAGCTAACGTGTGGTCAGTAGGGTGATGGGGTTGAGGAAGACAGACCACACTGTGGAATTTCTAACAAAGTCACTGCTCCCATACCATGTGGTTGTCAGGCAAGCTGGATTGACTCTTGTGCCAGCAGAATATGAGGCATCATTTATATGCTGTAAAATAAAAAGCTGTTTTCCCTGTATAAGGTGCTATTGTTACCTACTAGGGGATTCTACTGGTGGAGCTTATATTAAAAATTACATCTTCTAGGACATTTATGCTTTTACTGCCATTATGGTTCCAGGGTAACTATAAAAAGCAGTTTGCATTCATCAGTTGGAAAGCTGGAGCTAAGGGAGAAATCTGGTTTGCAGTTTGCAAGCCCTGTGAAACATGACTGAGCATTGCTGAGTCCATTTAGGAGGGAGTCAGTGGGAGACTATAAAAGCTGTGCACAGGTAAATGTATGTTCAAGTACATGTGCTGTTTAAGTGCTGTGCCATTGCAATATCCATCTGCTTTTTGGTCTTTCTCCAACAATATTTTCTGATTTTAATAAATGCATCATATTACCCAAAGGTGTTTGTAAACAGATGCAATGATATTTATCTGTTTATCAGTGTTATCTAGTAATTTACAAATTATTGCAAACATGGACAAGTGCCATAAAAAGAAGTGTAAATATCCATATTTACCATGGACAAGGATTAATACCATATCAGTAGCCATGTGAATTTAGCAAGATTCTTTATGAAGACCTGCATTTCACCAGGCTGTTACAGACACTTTGGTGACTGTCCCTCCTGGGGTACTAAAAACATGATGTTGCTCCTACTTACTGGCATTGGTTATTGCCTTTGGTGCTTGATATTTTAAGTCACATTGTAGCTATTCAGTAAAAGTAGATATAATGCCAGAGTTTTACTCATGTCAGTGCAGTATTTAGGAGTCTGTTTGATGAAATGGGCTCAGGTGGCAATGACCAGGGCAGGAATGCCAGTGTTAGAGGAGCAGGAGGTTCCTCTATGTAATATTGAGGTTTTAGTGAGCCAGAAGAACCTCCACTGAGCCTGTCAGTATTATCAGGAATAGGCCCTGTGGCCATTCTTTTTTCATGTTATTCCTTGTTCTCCCATTCCCATTTGTTTGAAATTAAGACTGCTTTTTTTGTTGACAATGGATAGTAAAGATGTGTTGGAAAATGGACTGGAGAGATAAGACTGGGCTAAGAATATAGGTAAAGAAAAAAAGTTAGTTTGGAAAAAATGGAATGGAAATGACAACGCTGCATTGACTGCATGTTGTTGAGTAGCTCAGTAGTTGGTCTTGACAGCTGGCTGTGAATCAAATGAAATAAACAAAAATCTAGTTGTGTTACATTAATATAACTCTTTTAATTATATATGTCCTGAAATATAATTCTCTTTTAAGATTTGTCTTCAAATGATGTTTTATTTGTAAAGTTTTAGTTTTGTTTTGGATCTGACATATATTCTATCCTTTCATCACTGACTTTATTAGCTCCGCTTCAATAATTTAGGCTTTTCTGTCAAGATATTGTCCAATAGTTCTGTAAAAAATAAGATCAGAAATGATACCTAAGTAGACACAAGGCTCCTGTGGTAATGCAACAGTACTGTTTTCTTCCTACAGCTTAGTTTTCTGCACTGCTGCTCTGTGTAGCATCTCCACCTCTCTGCCAGGTAACTCTTGTGCTTCTTGAAAAAGTGTCTTGAACTCAGGTTCATCAAATGTATTTAAACATTTTGTTGCAGTTTGGATTAATTTGCTCTTGTAAATTACCTTCCTAAACTAAGGCATTTGGTCACTATGCTTTTACTAAATTAATAAATTCGTAACAGGGGATGGATACAATTAAATGGAAAACTTTTCAAAGTTTTCTCCAAAGTGTTGCTAAGCTTCCATCAAACTTCAGTATTGGTTTTGCTGCCTCCACATATATTGGCACAGACTGAGTGTACAACTTTGATTCACATTTCTGAGCACTTGCTTTCCTGTACAAAGCTCTCTGCTATTCCAGTATGGTACCAAAATCTTTGTCAGCTGGCAGTTTGAAGTAACATCACAGACATAACCTGTCTTTTTTTTATTGATAGTCACAATTAAGTGTACTTATAACTATGCTTTTTAAACGACATCTCAGAAGTTAACATTTTGCAAGATTAGCTTGTATTTTATATCACTGAATTTTATAATTAATTTAGTAGAATTTTGTAATAACATCATGGTGGATTATTGGAAAGATGTTCCCTTTTTACCTGGAAAAGAAAGTACATCAAAGAAACACTTTCTCTGTATGTCAACACCCCCTAAGACTCGCAGTAAATCTATTATTTAAGCTGTTTAAGCTCTTTTGCTCTTTATGGACTAATTAGTTAAGGGAAAATGGCATTGTTTTGTTTGGTGAATTTTGGGTCAGGTCAGGGGAAATTGGTCTTTGTCTTGAGATGGAATTGGGAATCTCATGGTGAGATGCTGATGGTAGCTCTTCAGTTAAAACTGAGGGGTCCAAAAACTGGCAGATGTGTCCAAGGTCTTGGCCTCTTATTCCTAATGAAAAATAGTCCTTGATGCTTGTCTCCCTGCAAAATCATAGATGTTCCACTGCCTCTTCCCTGAAGCAGAAGTCTGTTAACTAATTTAACTTCTTTTCTAGTCTATGTACTTCTTCCTCCTTTGTTGTGAGGAAAAAGAAAAATCCTTATTTTTAGCTCTTCTTATGACATTGGTTTTCCCTGTTTCCCTGCTTTTAAATTCACTTTTATGTGAGCCTGAAAGCTGACAGCATGATCCCAAAGTCTTGCTTACAGATGATGAAGTTGTCCAACCACTGGGCTTGATATGGATAGTGTTACTATTGAGAAAAAAGGTTGGATGGCACCTTCAAACTGCTTATATGTAAATTCATACATTCAACAGAGATTTAAAAGAACTCCTTATTTTCCTCTTCCTACACAGTACTATGTGAAAGAGTTTTCTTGCTTGCATGCATGCATATGCATAAATATGTTAAATTTCTTACCAACATGAATAAGCAGAACAGAGGCATGATTGGAAATGGTTTTGGTGGACTACAGTAAGCACTACATTCAGTGTCTGATACTCCAAGGGACATTAGGCTGAGTTTTGCAGAGTTCTACAGACTGATAGTGTAGATGCAATATATGCAGTCAGAAAAGTGCCTTCCCAGGGGAGATGTTATGCTCCATCTTCTGACTCACCTTTAATATCCATTGTCCTTGAATTTCCTTATCTTCAAAACTTTTATCACATCAAAGGTGTTTTGCTGTTTGGTTTTGTTTTTTGCTCAATGTGACTGAAAACATTCATAGCTGGCTAACCAAAACAAGTTCTGTATACCTCTATATCATCTATATCTACATCTATCTATATCATCGATATATGTTTCAAGAGATTAATACAATTTAGAAATTTTGTCCTTGACATATCCATGTATATAGTGGACATATATTTATATCCCCTTCTAGTTGACGAGGAGCTTTTTGATTGAAAGACAAAATATCTGACTCATTTTTTTCTCAGAACTCTGTATAGCTTATATAGATATACTTGTGAAAGCAAATCACCAAAGAGAACTGATCACTAGGAAACACTAATGTTGTTTGTACTGTTTTGCAGCTAAAAAAAAAAAAAAGAAATTAGGCTACTTTAACACTTGTTTTCAGTATTTTGAGTCAATTTAGACTAGGAAAGTATGTTCTTCTTGTAAAGAAAAAGTGATAATTTCATGCCCTCTCTCTAGGAGAACTTGCTGGCTTATAATAGCATACATCCCCCTGTCCTGGCACAGATTCACCTCATCATATACTTTAACATCCACTAAGAATCCTGTGTTTTCTGTAAGGAATGCAGCACCTTCCTTTAAAAAGCAGATACTTGCCATGAAGGGAAAGCTATCTAAATTTTTCAGGAAAAATTGAAGATATAAGCTCATGTGTTTCATGTATGCAGCTAAATGTGGTTATGTTGTTTTCTGATCCAGAGGCACTGATTAAAAATGTATTGAAGGACCTAGAGAAACACCAAGTGAATGTGGAGAATCTCAGCTCAACAGAACTGGATGAAATCGCTGATACTATCGCCACTGCAATCCAAAGTGTTGACATTCAGGAAGAAACAGAAAAAAATGCTGGAAAAAGTAAAGAAGACAAAACAGAAGCACAAGTGAAGAAAGGAGATGCTCAAGGAAGGGCAGAGCTTCAGACTGGATTAATGGAAAACAGTGTTAATATACCAGGTATTTATTTTAGAAGTTAAGTACAGCAAAAGACAACTACCCTGATTTTCCTCTATTGCTTCACCTTTGTGCTAGACTTCTAAAAATCAGTTTTAAAGAAGATGTGAGGGAAAGTTTCTGTATTTCCTGAAAGGCTGTGGAATTTTAGGTTGCGTTTTCTTTTTACAGCAGTTTCTTCAATTACCAAAAAAAAAAAAAAATCTGTTTATGAACACGCAGTCTTCAAGCTTCACAAACAAGATAAACCTACCCACCCAATTATATTGAAATAAGAATTGCTTTATGCTGTATGGTCTAATTTCCTATTCTTGAAAATGAGATGTTTAAGTAAAATGATAATGGAAATTATTATATTGCAAGATGTATTTCCAAATATGCAGAGAAACGGATGTGTTTTGCAGATAATAATTTTTAACATGCTACAGTTACTTGCAGAAGAAAATCTGTGACAAGTATAGGTACAAACCCACTTGTTCCCTTTCCTTCTTAGGGAATAAGAAGAGTTATTACGGTTATTTGTTTCTGTCTGCACACAGAAATCTGGTGATGCAAATTCAGGAGCCACAGTAATTGCCATTAATGAGTGAATACCACATTGGAACATAAGTTACTGCTCATCCTTTTCTATTTTAGGAATTTTATAATATCTTGTATGCCAGAAATGTGTACTGTAAGTCATAAAAAATTATTTTCACTGTTTTCATGGTGACATACTGAAATCCTTACTAGTTAGGGATATTCTGGTTATTCTGATTGCCAAATTTTGTTATAGATTAAAAGCAGCAAACTTGAGGATTTATCTTGAATCATGCTGAGAAAGATGAATGGCATTCAGTTTGTAAGGCAAAAAGCCAGTGTTATTTGACTGAGGTTAAGGATGTGACTGAATATTATCACTGTAGTTAAACTGTAACATGATTTTGGTGAATGATATCTTTTGAAGTATGTCATTTTCTTCCACCAAAGCAGCTATGAGGGAAACATATGTTTCCATTTCCTTTACCATAAATGTCCATTCAGCAAGCTAGAGACATTTTATTCTGTTTTTTTTTTTTTTTCCTCAGATATTGGTAAACTAATATGATGATTTGACACTTAATTAGCTAAGTAACACTATTACATTTGCTCTTGAAGTACTCTGTCTATTGATCTCACATTAATTTGCTATCAAAGGGGGGTTGGAATAACAATAACAAATTATGCAGTGCTCCTTTCTCTGCCCTTTCAGCTTTGATGTCTCAATGTTTACATCACATAAAAAGACCACTGCTAAAAAAGCAGCCTATGAGAAGTTTTTGTTTTGTATATGATGTTTGCCCTTCATAACTATATATTTGTGCTTTTCATATCCTACAGACAATGGAGTGCACGAGGCCAGTGTGAGAAGCGATAAAGAGGTAGAGTACCAATAGAGTACCAGTATTTTAACAAAACAAGTGTTCCATCTCAGAATATCAGGTTTCTGCACAGTGAAAGACAAACTCACTTCTGAATTATAAGACTTGTTCTAAGTTTTGTGTGGTTATGATTCAATACCACACATAGATGTCTTTTTGTTTATGCATTGAAATATTAAATGAGCATTTATTTAAACCTTAACCAAAATGGGTTTTCATGTTCAAAAATAAAAATCAAGTCCTTTTTACCCCCTTTCTCTAATTTTTAAATAGACAGAATTCATCATAGATTCAGAAAGTTCAGACAAATTCAGGCTTTTCCTCAAGTCAGTAGATTTGGAGCATTGAGGTGTTCTTGAAAATGCTTTCTCCCCTGAAAATGCTTTTTCCCCCTGTCCTCTGGCTCTTAGTTCTAGGGAACACCAGGTTTTTCAAAAGCTCTAGGAATTACATCTTGTATCCTAACTAGTGACATCAAAATTAGCATTTTGATCCAGATTACTTTTACAATATTCCTCCTGAGCTTTGAATCATATCCTATGGACTGCTGTCCAATATTTAGCCATTTCTGAGGTATATTCATCTTTCTTTTTCTCAGTTTCATGGAGCAGAAAAATTTCAAAGAAATATTTTTTAAAAACTGTGTGAAACTTCTCCTGCTATGTACTTTATCAAAAGCTATTACTGCAAGACTCATAAACGGGCAAATCCTCTTGTGTTCACAGTAATCTCTTTGGTCCTTGTACCAAGCAAAGGAAACACACATAGACAGAGTGGCAGGAGCTTTAAACACCCACATGAAAATCATCAAGGAATGAAGCACTGTAGTCACAACAGACTTACAGAGGATCCCATGTATAAATTTCTTAGTGACAGTTTGAATAGGGAATGTTTGAATAGAATTTATTGTGTCACAGAGCACAAAGTGCCCATTAGCCCTCATTTCTCCCCAAATGCTTGGCTGCAATAAAGTTATGTAATGAACTAGCTAATGAATTCTTCCAGGCTCCTGTTTTGACTTTGGCTCATTTGCTTATTGTTGATTTATTAGACAGATTCTGGTTTTCTGTGATCATATTTTTAGCTTGTTGGATCACTCACAGTTTGTCACCATTTCTAGAGATGAAGAAGGGAAACAGAATTGGCCATATAATATCTTTTCCTTTTCTGGTGTTATAACTTGTGAGACCCAAGAGTTACGAAAGTTTCTGGGCCCAACCCAGGAATACTGATAGACATTTCTGTTTTCTCCTTTTCATTGACTTACCTGATTAAAAAAAAAATTAATTTTTGTCAATACTTAGACACACAGACACATTAGAAACTACTGGAAACTACTGGAAAAAATAGTGGCATAATTTAATGCTCTTTTATTATTACTGAATAAACAGCATGTTCTTAACATAGTCTAGCAGCTTATAGAAATTAAGAACATGACCATGAAACAGTTGTATGTGCATATTCTATCCTATCAATAAGAATTTGAAAAAAATTATATCCAGGTTTGGTGAGTATAACCTTCCTGTGTTTAGTTTTAAAAATAATATTATTCTTTTAATACAGGAGAACACTGCAAAGCTGATTAGATTCTTGAATGAGAATGCATTAGCTGAAAAGATACATGAAGATGTTATTCCTGAAGAACAAACAAAGGCAGAAACTAAGAAATCTGAAGAAACTGACCCGTCTTCCTCAGAAGAAACAAATGCTGGTGTGGAAAATGTAAAAAGTGAGACTTTCTCAAGGGAGCTGACACCTGCAAAGAACAGTGAATCTGACTCCAAAGACCTGAGCCAGACCAGCTACTGGATTAAGAATGCTTTAATGCAGGAAGGAAACTCCTATGAAAAGCCTCAGAAAAACACAGGACAAGGCTTACAGTTTGAAGTGAAACCTTCTCAGGAGGAAGAATATGGCTATATTGTGACAGTGAAAGAGTAAGTACAACAGCCAATTTGAATGGCATTTTTAACTGGGGAAAAGATAAAGTCATTGCACCTAGTGAAATATGAATGTACAAAAGGAAAATGCCACAGGCCTGATTTTTAATACATCTGAAACTATTTGGAACCTATTCAGTACTTTGATGAAAATACAAGCAAACAGTTCTGTTTTCTTACAGTTGCCTTTCCTCCCTTCTAGAAGACATTAAATTTGTAGGTCTTTTGCTTAGACCTCTCTCTATCTTCTCATGTTCTAGTGACCTTCCAGTATGTCAGTAAGTGTGCTTATGGTTAGGATGAGAGCTTTAAATATTTGACTTGAAAGTAGTCTAAATATCAATGCCTGAGTCATTCTTTCAGAAAAATGACACACAATAACACAGCACAGTATTTTCTCTGTGGTTTTTGTTTTGATCTGAAAATAACTTACATAGGACTCCAAACATCACATATGCAGCTAGTTTGGAAAGAAAGACCTAATGCTTTCAGGTCATGTCACTAATGAATTTGACATTTAATACTATACTTTCAAAAAGGTGGCTTTAGCCCCCTAATGATACACAGTTCATTACAGGATTTGGGATTTTAGAACCATGTAGGCGCTTTTACATTCTTTTGCCCTCTGTAGAACAATGTTATGTTTGATTAGTGATCCTGACTCCTCTTCTGTAAGAAACTTAGAATTTCTAGGATGAGCTTACAAATCACTGTCTAGCATCATAGAGAAACTGAGGCAGAAATTTCTTTAGATGTATTGATTCTTTTGACTGTCTTAAACTTATTAATGGGATTGAAGGCAATGGGCTTGAGGAGGATTCTTTTTTTTACTATACTGTGTTGCGTTGAAATGCATGTGGCTGACGTTAGAAACAGACCAGAAACTGGTGGAATTCCTCTTTAACTGCACCTCTTCATTCCTGCCTAGGAATGTTATGTGAAGCAGAAGAAGACAGTTTTTCCCCAGCTCAGCACTACTTCCCTAGTTCCCCCAGCTCTTTTAACTCATATCAGTCTGGAAGACTCCTTTATTCCAAAGAGTATCATGATGACACCATCTCCTTTGACTATCCAGGCTTATTTGGCTCATAAATGCAGTAAAGTTTAGAACTGCCAGAGCTCTGTGAAATGGGAGACATTCTGAATTTCAGTGTTCATAACCTGGAGATTCTTCACTGTATCATGTTACCTGGATTTCTTCCTTTCTAGTCTCCCACTGATGGGTTTTCCCTGAATTATGCCTGTTATTATTCATTGAAACTTGCTGAAGAAGATAATTTGTCCAAAGATTCTTGGTTCTAGAGGAGTCCATATACACAAATATAATTTACCTTCATTACCATTTTTAATGTTTTTTAACTGGCTGGATGGCCAGGACCAGAGAGTGGTGGGGAATGGAGTCACATCCATGGTTGTAACTCTGGGCAGACACCAGTGTGTTCAGCAGGGCTCAGTACTGAATTCAGTTCTGTTTTATATCTTTATTGATGATCTGGGTGAAGGGATCAAGTGTGTCCTCAGTCAGTTTTCAGATGGAAACCAAGTTAGGAGGGAGTGTTGATCTTCTGAAAGGCAGGAAGGCTCTGCAGAGAGAAAAGCCTCAACTTGCACTACAAGATGTTCAAATTGCATGTTAGGAAAAACTTCACAGAAAGGGTTGTCAAACTTTAAAACAGGGTGCCCTGGGAAGTCACCGTGGCTGGAGGCATGTACATGTGTCACTTAGGGACACAATTTAGCGGTGGATTTGGGAGGGCTGGGTTGACAGTTAGACTCAATGATCTTAGAAGTCTTTTCCAACCTAAATAATTCTATGATCCTGTGATTCTGCTCAGTGCTGTAGCTGACATTTGAGGGAGAACGTTCCCTATTAACTTCTAATGTTTTGCAAGCATGATCCAAGGAGGTATTAGCACTACTGCACTGAACTCCATGAAATGCTAAGAAGATGCCAGCATTTAATTGTGCCACAAAACAAAGATAAGCATTTCCATCTAATACTTGAAGTAAAGATTTGTGATACTTTAAAGACTTGCTAAAATGGCAGTCTGATTGTCAATGGCAAGAAGAGTGGGTCACTCCTGCTGTGTTTGTCAAGTGACCTTTCAGATGGTTGCAGCACTGCAATCCATACCAATCCATATTATCCATCAGTGCTAAGCTTTGGAATGAATTGACACTTTCAGTGTAGAAAATTGCCCGGCAAATCCTCTACTGTGCTGCTTCAGTACTTTATTACTCTGAGAAACCAATCAAATTGGTGATTTACTTTGTTTACTCTCTTTCAAAAAATGGCCATTCTACCACTGGAGTATTTTTGTGAAATTTGTTTCTTAGTGTAATTGCTTGAAGTGTTTTATTAATTTTAACTCTAAAATTCCAAAGTAATCTTATTTTTTAAAAGTAATCTATGGAATGTTATTTTCATTTGTGTTCTGCTTTTTCCATAGTTATAAAGTGCCTCTGTTATAGTTGGGATACATCAGTGTGAGCTCTCTAGTCAGAGAAGTCTTGCCTTTGGACTCCTATTTTCTGAAGTTCTAGTTCTTCACATTTGGGAAACTTATTTTTTTTTTGTTTAAAACCATGCCAATTCTCCCATTTGTTTGGCAGTATGTGCTCTAAAATGAGGGCCTAGATCCCACAATCATAACATTTACACAGTGTTTAGTCTCCTGAGTATCTCATGAGGAAACCCAAAGCCTGACTTTCCAGAAAACGTAGTTCATACCACCTCCAGTAAATCTAAATGTAAGCTGCTGCATGCTCAGCAGTTTAAATAGCCAATCTGGCATGCAATTTCTCAAATATGAGATTGAGTAGCTAGACTTAAATGCACTAAGAAAAATCCTAGTTTGAAAGTTGGTCTCTTTCCACTGCTTATCACAGAGTCTTTCAAGCTTCAAAATCAAGTCATGCTTCTCTGGAACCATGCTTGGACACCTAGTGCAGAGCAACCCATCCTGTTCTGTGACTTATCAGAGGGCTTGTGCTTGAAGTTTTTCATACCAAGACTCGATCACAGACAGCTCATGGCAGCTCTCTTAGCTTGTGAGCCAGCTCCTGGCATTGTTGTGTTATGCATTTGCAGGATAGTTCATGTTTTGTCATATGTTAGCTCTCAATTGCAGACTGTCTGTGTAAGATTGTATAGGTTGTAAATCTGTTTACACCATGTTAACTGAGCTGGATCCTGCATGCATGGCTCTGCATTTCATGGAGGGAGCTGCAATTCTGCTCAGGTGCTGGGAAGAAATGGGGCTTGTGTTCACAATGTTAAGTTGCTATGGAATATGATTAGTCTGACCCATTTAACGTGCTGAAGGGTTGGGTTAATTGCAAATGCTTGATATTGTTTCTCTGCCTTTACAAATGTGATAAATGATACTGCTTTGCATATAATGATTACTTTCCTCAGGATGGCATTCGGGTTAGGACCCTGAAGCTGGGTTGTGCAGAAGTCTTGGTTTATTCCTCAAGTTTTCGGTTTTCCTAGGCATATCATTAAATAATTGTATTTTTATGATCTTCATTATTTTTTCCCCTACCAGGTGGAAACATTTTAATTGCATTTAAAAATTAAATTTAAAATAAATAGGAAAAATTAATCACAATATCTACAGCAATGAAACAGGGCTGGTACTGTTCTCAGTTACTAGATCTTGATGTTTCTTAGAAGCTGAGCATTTATATTCCATGAGGCTCTGCAGCTCGTTTTAGAAAATAATAACAGAATGTTCTTGTCCTTTAATACATCTATTCAAAAAGAAACACTGATTTGACCCTCTCTGTATATCTCACTGTCCTTTTTGAAATCATTATTCTACTTACAAGTGCACTTTATTAAGGGAAAGAGATTTCTTCATATTCTTCACTTAATTTCTACAATTGGGTTTAAAAATGAAGAGAAATTATAAATACACATAAACCAGAAAATCTGTTGCTACTGAAGTCTGTTAGAATCACCAAAGAACAGCACTGCTGACATTAGAAAAAAAAATACATGTAAAATTTTTATCTCCGATTTTTCACTTCCATTATATAATCTTCCCTTGTATAAATAAGTTCCATAAATGTCCATAATTGATTTTAGAGCCAAAGGTTTTGCTTCTGACAACATAGATTGACCCCCTATCTGAATAATACACATGGAAAATCCTTTCCTGTGAAACTGTCCAGTAGGTACAGCTTGATCTTTGTGTCTCAGCACCAAAACCTGTAGAGAGACATAATTCTAGAATTTTCTGTTTTCTAGAAATGAAATCTTTCTTCCATCTATAATTCTCCAGTTTTCTTGTGATTCTGAGAAAGTGACAGATCATATCCCCCATATTACTGCTTCACTGCCTCAATTTTGATATTTATATATTCCCATATATGGAATACGGGAAAATGATGTTTCATGCTTCCTATTCATCTACAAGAAAATAACAGAGGAGCAGTAGTTAGTCTGGCTTTGTCACAGAGAGTACTAAAGACTGCCTTTTTTTTTTTTTAAATGCATGTGTTCAGCTTTGTGTATTTTTATTATCTGTTATATGCACAGAGATGTGATAATCTGTTCTACTTCAGCTGCCCTTAGCTTTTGAGCTTTCAAAATCTGTTGAAATATATTGTGACAGAATGTGATTCTCACCTACTGATGTAGATAATTTTACAAGAGAAGAGTCCTTCCCAGTGTCCATCTTTCCCTCCTCTAAGGGTGTTGCTTTCACACATATTTTCCTCTCATTTTTTTTGAGACCAGCTCTGCATTTTTACCTCTAGAGGAACACAGAGGGAAAATTTTCTAATTAATGTAGCTGGTGACCAGCCAATCCACTACGACTAATGCAGTAACGACTAATGGCAAACATTCACTCTGGTCCTGATGCAGTGGACAATTTTGGGAGTGTGCCTGGAGTCCTCAGTAGCACCACAAGAACTCTCTCAGGTCTCTATTACTCCACTTACTGAACAGGAATGGCTGCTGGCCTGGTTTCCAAGGCCAGGCATTC